CCGTTGCGTGAATGCAACTGTGACGAATGCAACGAAGGTCGAAAATGGCTTTAAGTTCACGGAGTATGGGTCATACGCTGTGTGGCCGGTGAACATGTGGAGGTATCATTATGTGCACGGCTTTGTGAATCACGCGTTTACGCTTGTGGCAATGGTGATGATTCATAAGGTTCCGAACGAGATCGTTATTCTGTGCGTGCGGGCCTGGAGGACCGCAAAAATACGGCGTTTGTGGGGTTGTCGTACACAACGAAGAAACAGTGGGGTACAGTCCTCAACGGCATGACAACAACATACAACAGCACTTGGGAGCTGGGGAGGGAGTACCAGGTGGCGCTCATGCTGCAGGGTAACTGGGGCTCCGTGTACGTGGACGGCGTGCTTGTGGGGGGTTCCTACACACTACCAACCCCTGAGCACGGAATTACGATGTCTCACAGTTCTACTTTGGTGCCGGCGGAAACTCCAGTGTGACAGTGAGGAATGTCTTTTTGTACAATCGCCCACTGAATGCCATGGAACTCAAAAGGGTTGACCAGTCCGATGCGCCTGGGAAACGTGAAGGTGACAGCTACGATACCTCTGAGGAAGGTGCAGGTGACAGCTTTAATGCGTCTGAGGAAGGTGCGGGTGACAGCTTTAATGCGTCTGAGGAAGGTGCGGGTGACAGCTTTAATGCGTCTGAGGAAGGTGCAGGTGACAGCTTTAATGCGTCTGAGGAAGGTGCAGGTGACAGCTTTAATGCGTCTGAGCAAGGTGTGGGTGACAGTTCTAAAGCACCTGGGAAACGTGCAGGTGACGGCGCACGTGTATCCAAGCAACGTGCAGGTGACAGCTCCACGCGTGCGGATGTGTCTCGGCTGCTGCTGCTATTGGGGCTTTGGGGCTTTGTGCTGAGTGGACCTCGGTGGGCAGGGGATTGTGCTTCTACTGAGAGTATCTCCGTTTCTCCACGCACTTTTTAAACTAAATAAAGTTTTAGGTGGACACTTATTTTGTTTCATTGTACGCTTTTTTTTTTAAACACAGGACTTTTATTTTTTTCTTTGACCTACAAATTGCGCTTTCTACTCGGCGCAGCACAGCGGGGTCTTCATTTATTCTATTCTGTTCTTTTTTGATTGTTATGTTATTCACCTCTATCAATGACGTGAGGTCATTCATCGATTTGGTTTTTAGTGTATTTGTTCAGTGTTTTGTTGGTTTACTGCTTTACAGATGTGTTATTTTGTTGGTTGTTGTTTTGTCGGTTTGTTGTTGGCGAGGGCGTTGCGCCTGCGCGTTTGTCTGGCAGTATGAGATGCTCCACTGCGCCCCCGCACTGCGGTCGCCGCGGGAAGGAGCGGGGCTCTCTCTTTTACGTCTTGGTTTTTCGCGGTGCTGACGTGTGCCACGGTGCCAGCTGACGTGCAGGCCATCGAATTCGTTCGAAAAGACACGAATGCAAACAACTAACCGCTTTTCTTGGGCGGCTGCGGACGGTCTCGGCATTGTGTGTCCGCCGATGAGAGAAGGAAGGAATTAAGGAATGAAGAAGGGGGTGAGAGCCACAGCAACGCACTGCGGGTCCCTGTGAAAGTTAAGCGATGTCTGGGCATCGGGGGCCTTCGGTGGCTGAAGCGAATATGTCTTTTTTTTTTTTATACTCGGCCAAAATGTGAGTAGAACTGTGGGGATCGCACAGGGGCCTTTCACGACAACATATTTTTGTTCTTGTTTTGTGAAACCGTTTTTAGGAGTAAATTTTGTTTTTGTTTTAGTACGGGGGCCTTCCACCACAGTGTTTTTTTTGTTTTGTGAAAACTGTTTTAGGAGTATTTTTGTTTTTGTTTTTTGGTAAATCATTTTTATTGTGTTACCATTGCATGGGCTGCGGTACCATTTTGAGTTTTTGCTATCTTCTTTTTTTCTCTTTGCGTCCTGCATCTCTTCTGTGTGTATGTGCGTTCTCACACGTTTTACTCTTCTTCCTTTTTTTTTGTATCTGCAGGCACACACACAAACTCGATATATTGCAGTGTGCATGGAGGATGCTTTTGTAGTTGGTGCTGGCAGTGCTTTCTGGGGCTGCTGATGCCTTCCGTGGCTATGAAGAGACCGAGACAACGACAAAGGAATAGAGTGCGCTGTGACTCACCCCCTTTCCTTGCGAAGGCAGCGCGCTGCGTGTGGGAGTGTTGCTCTGAGTGGCGTCGTGTCTTACGCACGGTGTGCAATGGCACAGTGGTGTCGATGCTGCGCCTTTTGTTGACTGTTAGCCCACTTCCCGTTTGTGTGTGTGTGTGTGGTGGTTGTTCGCGTTGGGTGTTTTGCGTTGGTTGCGGGGGCTTTGAGGTTATTTCTTGCGGCTGCGGAGGTAAGCTGGCGTTGATCGCTGCTCTTCTTCATTATGGGGGTTGGTTTCTCTTCATCTGCGGAATGACGATGCGGCAACCTTAACTGTCTGCAATAGCGCTGCTCGTCCATTTTTCATCATGGACACTTCTGTAACTGTACAGTAAAGTGAGTTTTGGTTTGTGAAACTGTTTTATTGAGCGTTCGGCCAATGCAATCCCTGAATGGCATTTTGGGTGCGAATGCGCGGGTTAGGGTTAGGGTTAGTG